CNGGGCTTCATAGGGTGGATACGTTTAGAGGGAAGACACTTGGATTCCTCTAGCGAGTAACCTCAAGTCGTTGAAGTTACAACCGGGAACCGATTCCCTCATCCATCATCAATAGTGAAGGAGTTCAAGAAATTCGGTAAATATTTTACTAGTATTTACTTTATAGTAACAAATCAAAATTTGTATATGATGCATGTTTTAAAGATGACGATCAGTTAATTCGCAGTTAGTATGTACGGGTGTTGTATTTATACGATAAATACTTACTTTAAAAATTTTAAATTCCGCTGCGTACAGCCCGTACTGTACTATCGAACCCAACAGTGGTATCAGAGCCACGGTTATCATCTTTAAAAACAGATTTTTGATTTGTTTATGTTTATATGATAAACATTTTTAATCATATAAATTTGTGTGTGATACAAAAGTTGTATTTGATTTTAATTTTGGGATTAATAAAAATGAATCGAATTGTTCGAGTTCATACGGCCAGAAAATGTTTCTGATCAAGTTGATTAATATATATACAAGTTGTTGTGTATATATTGAAATTAGTTTCATGATTAATTAATTATAATCAATAGTTGATTAATATATAATCAAAAGAGTAATTGGGGGGGCGGTGAATAGCGATTGAGTAATTGTAATCGGGTTTTTTATGTTTTGGAATGACAAGACTGTCAGTACTGCTTTTCCATTTGAAAAGACAACTCGATATATATCATAAATTGTGAGCCACATTTTGGAAACCCTAACTCAAATACCGATATCAGGTGGGCGTCTCTGATTTCTCTACTTTCGTATCGTTATCTTTTCTTTTTCCACCTATTAAGGGAAGATAGTAACCTCGATTGCCTTTACAATCAATATGGTTTNATCTCATCTCAGATTACTTACCATGTGAGAAGATTTTTCCTATTTTTCAAATTATGTAAATTATCGTAATTGACGCTAGATGAGAGAAAAAACATACAATATTTAATCCACACTTTTAATATTAACTAGTATTTACCTAATTAAATAGGTATAATGTTGTATATCTGCAAATAAGTTTTGCACATTAATATTTGTGCTATTATTTATCATGCGCCACGGCATGAATGTAAATTAGCCTTCACACAAATTACCGCCGTATGTGCGTGCATTCTTGATTCACTTATATCGAGAACAGCGTAATTGCACATAAAAGTAGAAACAAAACTCGAAATCTGGTCCGATTAGTTCTTTTCATGATCACCATTCATCACGCGAGGAGATGATGACGATGATGGCACATTCAGCATTGTAAAAGCTGGCCCACCACCATCTTCTCGGCTCCTTCTTACCTTTCTCCGCCATCCATGGAGCGATTTCCTCACGTTTTCCGATACTATGGCTTTCTTATACCTTGAACCCATCTGCAACCAGGAAAATACAAAAAACTCATAAGAAAAAAAGGAAAAAAAGATGTTGTGCATGGAAAAGCATTTGGATATATGGGGACTCTTATAAAGCTATATCAAGGTTTTGTTACCTTGAGCTTTATGTAGTAGTAAACAAGAAAAAGTTGGCCATCTTTTTT